TTTTTTTCCCCTCTTCAAGGAGACATTGTGGAACTGGTTTTTACATTTCTTATTTAAAATACTCGGTTAGTTTTATCACAAAAAGGCGATGTAAGAAGTGCTATACCAAAAGAAAGTGAACATAATGTACCAATTTTTTATAAGTCATTGGGAATGATAAACCTGTGTTTCTCATGTCTCAGGCTCCTTTGGTGAGATGTCTGGAGATGCCAGCATGCCAGCGGATACTTTTCTTGGCCTATGCCCTGACTTATTACGTTTTTTAATTTAAACAATTAAATTAAATGCTGCAAAGCAAAGCACTAGCCTTCAGTGTCATCTTTATTTCCAAGAGTATCTCTAGAATCCAAACAGGCTCTGTAAACAGCTGTTTTTTCAAAAGTATGCTTGCTTGTCCAATAAAATAAAATAAAATAAAATAAAATAAAATAAAATAAAATAAAATAAAATAAAATAAAATAAAATAAAATAAAAATAAAAATAAAATAAAATAAAATAAAATAAAATAAAATAAAAAAATAAAATAAGCAACAGTCAAGAGGAATAGTAGGGAAGGGTGTAGCAAGTAGCATTCTAGAAATCAGTGGTTTCCAAGTGGCTGTATAGCACCTTGCAGCTGTTTTGTGAATATCCAAGCTTACCCCCATCAGCCGTTTTGGAAGAATATCCACAGCATATTCTCAAGATTTCAGATGTGCCCATCAGGTCACAAAAGTTGGGGATTCCTTCTTTAGATATTGTTAAATAACTTCCAGCATCCCTCACTATTAGTCATATTGGCTGGGATAGTAGGGAATTGTAGTTTGGCAGTATCTGGACCTCTACACGTTGCAGATGCTAGGTTTGCAAGTATGCACAAACACTAAGCATTTTGAAAATCATACTGGAAATAGTCCCTAGGGATACTAATGGTTTTTCACATTATAATACAAAACAAAAAAATCTGAAATATTAACACTTACCGCTTTAGTACTTTTTGAATAATATGCAAATGACTGAAATTCAGCCATTGGACTCCACCAATAACTAGTATGGTCTGGCCTGTATTCTCTAGTGGCTGTGATCTATAATAATAATAACAACAACAACAACAACAACAATAATAATAATAATAATCCTAAACCACAAACTTTGCCCTAGC